GAGGCACGTGGTTCTCTCGCCTCCTCTTGCAGAGGGCACTTTTTTAGAGGCTTTTTTTAAACAGCTAAGCAGAGTCATCCATTGGAGGCTCTGGCAGCATCAGCTTTTGATTTTTTTCTTTTTACATTTTTTACATTTTCATCATGGCAGACAAGAGGAGAGTTGAAATCCTTGTAACACGTAAGTAATTAATTTTATTGTAAGTAATTTGTGTGTTTGTGTTTGTTTCTTTACTTCACTCAAACAAACTCTCTCTCAAATTGAGAAGAGAGGAAAGGGGGAGAGGCAGGGAGGGCAGCTTTTTCGAGAAGAGAGGGACAGCCCGCTAGCAGAGGCGGGTCTTTTACCCGCCTCTGCTAGCGGGTGGGCTGGTGCTTTCTTTCTTTTGCCAGCCTGCTGGAGCTTGCCGCGCCGGGGAAGGAATGGGCTGGATGGGCTGGCTGGCTGGGGAGGGGGGAGCTGAAGAAAGGGAGTCTGGAGCGCTGTGACCTGGACACCGGTCCGGGCTGGACTTCACTGCTTTCAGCCCAGCAGGTGTCTCTTTCTCCGCAGCCAAAGCGCCAGCTGAGGGGGGTCCAGCTGCTCCCGACCCCTGCCCATCCCACGGAGGGCAAGGAAGAGGCCTGGCGGGCCTGAGAGGAGGCGGCGGAGTGGGCAGGAGGCGGCTTTCGCTCCCGCCTTGTCCAGGCTTCTCCTCGGCGGGCCTGCCAGAGCTCTGGGAGAAAGCGGCAGGAGCCAAGGCTGGCCACTCAGGGCTTGGAAGGGGGAGTTGTATGCGGGTCCTCTGCTCCTCGAAAGTCTGGAGAGGGAAGTGGGGCTGGCCCGTTTCCTCCTGGGGCTGCTTGGAGATGGAACTGGGGCGGTGGAGACTTGCCTGCGGCCGGCTTCTCTGGAGCTGGGGGGATGATTGAAGTGGAACTGAGCCTCTTGCCGCTGCGGGCCTGGTTTGCGGAGCGCAAAAAGGGGAGTGGGGCCTCTTGGAACACCCCCCCATCCCTCTTTGCCTTTCACCTCCATGGCTCATCCTCCTGCCCTGTCCGGGTTTCTCCTTGGCAGGCCTGACGGAGCTCTGGGAGAAAGCAGTGGGAGCTGAGGCTGGCCACTCAGGCCTTGGAAGGGGGAGCGGAATGCAGGTCCTCCACTCCTTGGAAGGGGGAGTGGAATGCGGGTCCTCTGCTCCCGGAAAGTCTGGGGAGGGAAGCGGGGCTGGCCCCTTTCCTCCCGGGGCTGCTTGGAGACAGAACCAGGTCTGCAGAGACTCGCCCATGGCCGGCTTCTCTGGAGTGGAGAGGGGGGTGATAGAAGCAGAGCTGAGCCTCTTGCCGCCATGGGCCTGGCTTGCGGAGCACAAAAAGGGGAGGGGGGCCTCTTGGAACACCCCCCACCCCTCTTTGCCTTTCGCCTCCACGGCTCTCACTCCAACCTGGGTACTCCTGGTGGCCTGCAGCTCCAGCACCTGCAAGATGGAAGTGTTTGCCCTGCAGGGCAGGCAAAAGCTGAAAAAAGCACCCCGCCACTTCTGTCTGACATAGAGGCATCCCACGCCCCGCAGCTGGGTCGGACATAGCTGCGGGGCGCAAGATGCCTCTATTTCAGACATAGCTGCTGCAGGGCGGGCAAAAGCCGCTTTTTTTCTTTTTGCCTCACCAGCCATAAGCTTCACCGCATGTCACTGCTTCAGTTAATGTAAACTTCTGGTTTTATTAATAACTCAGTAATTAGCTTCCTATTTTTGTCATGAACATTCAAGATTCCAAGTAGCTCTGGAAAAGCTTCAGATCTAATATTCCAAACAGTTGTTGAAATTAACAAAGACAATATTAGGGTAGATAATCTCTCCTTCATATGTTCTTTACAAATGTACATAACAGGTGTTTTCCAGGTAAAGAAATTTGATACAGTTTAATAAATGACACACAGGTCCTGTGTAAATCCTATTCAATTTCAAGTCAATGTATTTCAGATGATAGAGTCATTATTTTAGGAAATTAAGGAAACAGAAAGAAAATGAGTAAATATGGCAATCTCTATATGGTTGAAATTCCTTTTTTCCCTTTTTAAAAATAATTTGATTATGTAAGAACAGGCTTTATTAAAACTGGCAACCATAGGCAACTTCTCCTACACCTTCTTAATACTGCTTAATATGGTTACAGACTAAAGAACCCTAGAGACAGATATTGACACAAGACAGATTTATAATGGATAATAGATGAATTCACAGAACAGCTGCCTATTGCCAGGTGTAACCCTACAGTAACCGAATATGAGGTTTCTACAAAAAGATGCTATATTAACTGGCTATTGAGGCCAGATTACATTTGTCATGGTACTTTCTGACAGGTTACGATGCGGGAGCTACCTTTACAGACAAAGATGATGTGAGCCCTTTATGCTAGTGTGTTTCCAACTTGGTCTATAAAACTGGCCAAGTTGATGCCCAATTCAGATATGCCAGCACACTTTTGTGTGCTTAAAGTTATGTGAACTTTGTTGTAAACATTAAACCATTCAGGATGATGATCCAATTTTTCTGCTTGTAGAGCTCTCTGGTCATAAATCCAAAGGCCCGATTAAAGTCCTTGACATGGGACTCCTTGTAGATAGCATCATCCACCTCATTCCTTCCTACTGGTCTGAGATTTGGCAGGAGATGTTCTCTCTCTCTCTTCGCTGCTTAGTCAGTGAGATTTTCCTGCCTGCCAAATTAATTAATCTCCTCAGCTGCGATTTGATAGGATGCCTCCCAGCGCGTTTTCCACACTTGCTAAACCTCCCTCCTGTCCAGGTACAGAAATTTGATACAGTTTAATAAATTATAGGTTGATGGTCCTGTGTAAATCCTGTTCAATTTCAAGCAGGGGTGGGTTGCTAATCCCGTTCCAACCGGTTCGGTTGGAACGGGGCCAGCGGCGTCCTCGTGCATGCGCACAGTTCACGCATGCGTCTTAGTGCCTGCGCGATGCTCCAGCTGCTCGCAGAGACTCGCACAGGCGCTGTATGTGCCATCCAGCTGCTCGTGGAGAATCGCGCAGGCGCTGTATGTGCCATGTGCCTGCGTGAAAGCGCAGAAGCCTTCAAAGACCGGTAAGGAGCGCGGGCGGGCGGGTGGGCCCTTCGCCGTTCCCGGAAGTTACTTACTTCCGGGTTCGCCGACCAACCGGTTCGTGGGGACCGCCGCAAACCGGTTGAAACCCACCCCTGATTTCAAGTCAATGTATTTCAGATGATATAGTAATAATTTCAGGAAATTAAAGAAACAGAAAGAAAATGAGTAAATATGGCATCTTTATATGGTTGAAATTCCTAACAGCATCCTAAGTATATAAATGTGTCAGAAAGAAAACGAGGACTTTTAAAATAAGGAGGTAGGAAAAACTACTTGGCAGGGGATATTAATGACAA